GAGGACAGGGAAGAGATGAGCAGCTCCATCGCCCATGAGTCTGGAGGGGAATCGTGAATAAATGGAGCGAAAAACCCAGCAGCTTTGTTCAAGCGGCTCAGAGAGTCTGAAAATTATTTTTTCTTTCCAAAAACAAATGGGTCAGCTCCAAATACCGGCACAGCATGTGTTTTAATTAACCTGCTGTTGCAGTTTGACGGGCATTGGGTAGTCTGACTCCTATTTCACGTATGAGCTCGGCTGAGCTGTTTCGTCACCACACTGTGATTTGGCTTCCTCACTGCAAGGACGAAGCAGGGAGGAGGGTGACTTCCTCGGGAAGGACAAATGTCATGGGACTGGCTGAGGAATGGTAAACTAATGATAATACAGCTAAAGTCAGAAGGGGCACGGAGCAGGGTGGTGCGTGGCTGGGCAGCGGGGAAGCACTGGGCATCGGGAAAGGAGCTGGAGAGGGAGAAAAGGGGAGCAAAAAGAGCCAATAGCGACTGCAAGAAAAGGAAAGTTCTTGGTTTTAAAAGGACAAGTTGTGTTATTCTTGAAGGGCCTGCAAGCTTTGGCTGATTTTCCTCTGGCTTGCCCTGTGAGATTGAGCTGCTCCTCGGCAGCAGAAACAGCTCGGCACACGGGAGGGAGCCTGCGGCGCCGGGCCAAGGCAGCTGCCCCAAGAGAGGGACAAATTCATCAGAACTGGGGACAAATTCATCAAATTAATCAGCGAGAGAGAGCAGGACCAAAAACCAGACCAAGCAGAGAGGCAGCAGCTTCCCCAGGCAATCCACACAATTAAAATGTGAAGCAAAAAATGAGAAGTCGGAGAAACGGGGACTATGAGACGCATGAAGAAAGAGGCAGGAGCTGCCAGATGAACCAGGAAAACAAAAGCAACGGAGGCACGTGGGGCAAGGACTTATTTATAGACGTGTGAGCTGTGCTAATTAAAATAGGTATGTGTGGACCGAAACACTTTGGTTACGCTGCTCCTTCTGAACTGGTTCCAGCCACTGCCATCTCGTCCAGAAAGAGCTCAGTGGTGGAAATGTGAGGTCCACGGAGGTAAGCGGTGCTCAGGTTTGTGACAGGTCGGGCATCCCTGTACCCTCCCCGCAGCCCCTTAGGCTCTTACCACGTCTGCCAGGACCGGGGAAGCTCCAGACCACCCCTGAGAGGCAGCAGGTAAAGCAGAAGGGACCGGGCTCAGCTGCGGGGCCTAAGAGCGGTGCAGAGCAGCCATCCGAGGTATGAAATAATTCCCTGTTTATCCCTATAGCATCATTGGTACCGAAGAGGCACGAGGTCTCTCAGCAGCATGACATGTCACCCGCTGGCTCAAGTCTTCTTCTCCCAGGAGCCACCAGGACAGATGGGCCAGTTTTGCCAGCTTCTGGGCCAGCTTTCTTGCCTGCATCATCCAGTTCTTACGCCTGGGCAGGTCCCTCTGTCAGCTCTCCAAGCTGTCACGCTGCTCGCCGAGAAGAGCATCCCTCTCTTCACGGGTACCGGGTCTTCCCCTCCGATAAGCCAGGAACTGGAAGGAGATCTGAGAAGAGGTTAAGGGCTCTTCACGCAAGCCAGGGTGGATCTATGCGACATGTTGGGTCTCACCACCTGAAAAAAGGCTGTTGGTTTCCAGCTCTCCTGGCACAAGACAATGAGCTTAATGCAAACGAGAGTCTGAAGCATTCAGCAAGTATTGCAACACCATGAATTACCGGCATGCGGGTGAGCAAGCGCAGCTCAAAAGCAACCGCTGAGTAGCATCAACCTACCCGCTCTCACCTAACCCTGCCCCGAGATGGGATCGCTCCCTGCAAAGCCTTGCCGGCGGGATGCGATCCCGGAGGGAAGCGCTGGCGGGGAAAGGATACAACCACGTCGAGCGAGAGGACGCCCAGGCTGCCCACCAGCCAGGGGAGGTGGTGCAGGACGTAGTCGCCTTCGCCCTGCCCCGGCTCGGGGTTCTTCAGGAGGACGCTGAGGCCGTAGAGCAAGTTCCCCAGCATCACCAGGGCAAAGAGGGAGTAGGAGACTCCGACGGTGGATTTCCTCTTGTACTGGAAGAAGAGGGACCAGAGAGAGGAGCTTGGGTGCAGCTTTCCAAAATCTCACTAGGAAGTAGTATTAACCATCCTCCCACCAAAAAAAGAGAAGAAAAAAGGTGGTGACTCACTGCCAAGAGCCTTTTAGTTCCCCTTTTGCTTATAAATAAAGACAAAATGGAAGCCCCACCCTCAAAATATTGGTATGTTAAAGGGAGGGGAGAAAAATGAATCAGGCTTTGGAGCGGAAATACAGAAAAATAGTGCCTTGTGAAGTGATCAGAGATGGGGACCTGGGACCTCTGAGCAAAGAGGAGAAAGATGACCCGCTGCCCCTCCTCCCCTCTTCTATCTGAAATCTCAGGACCCCAGGGGGTTCCCAGGGCCGGGCTGCTGCCCTGCCCTGCTCACGGCGTGGCACGTACGTTAGTGTAGATCTGGGGGACTCGGGAGCACAGGTACAGCACAGAGGAGATGGAGCCGATGGTGAAGCCAACGATCTCGCTCCTGGTGAAAGGCTGCAAGGCAAGGGGGGGCCATGAGCAGCCCCCATGTTTTCAGAGCCACACTTACCACCCACACCACGGCTCTGTGCGAGGCGACAGCGGGACTAAAACCCAGCCTTTGACCCCCCCATGCATCCCTCGCCCCGCTGAGGGCTAAGTGGGATTGCACTGGTCCAGCAGACCATGCCCACCCCACCAGAGAATTTCTCTTCTCTCCCTCCATCACCCAGGCTCGGGAACCAGCTCACCTTCGACCCAAGCTCATCCACGCGAGCGGAGAGCAGAGACCTCCCTTTAAAAGTCGCCGG